CACACCCATAACATCTAATAGAAAGTATAAAAATTTTTAATCAATGAAATGTTTCTTTAGAAGTGTGTTTGAAACAATAAATTCTTTTACCTTCCGGTAAGACATCTTTACAATTTTTACATTCAATATTAAATGGTATTTGAAATCTACACTTTCTTTTCATAAAATTTAAATCCTTTAAAATTAAATATGCAAACATCAGTAGAGAAATTAGACGAACTTTATAAAAATACAGAGGAATTGTATAAGTCGCTTAAAGAAATAAGAATGTTATTAGACAATGTAAATGATAAGTCATTAAGTATGAAAAGTATTTCAGATAGAATGAAGAAGTCAAATGATCTTTATAAAACACTTATTAATAAATTGAATAAATAAAGTGTTTAAAGTTTATTTTAAAGTATTTCTATAAAGCTTATTATGACAAATAATTCTCATCTCATTAGCTTTAAGATAAGGATTGTAGACTTTGTTATAATAAACTCTGTCATTCTTTACTTCTATTGTTATTGGTTTAGTTTTGAAATATTTTAATTGATTGGCAATTCCTAATAAAAATCTCATTTCAACATTACTACCTAATTGAAGGTCATTATAAAATGACTCAGTATTAAACACTTTTAATTTCTCATCATTCAAAGTACAATAAAAATTAGATTCTGAAATAGGAAAGATTTTAACCTTAAAATCACCACTAAATGATTTTCTATTAAAAGATAAAAAATGTTTCTTAGGGGTGTTAATGAAAGTTTGAGTCATGTAATTTATGTTAGGATGAGACTTTTCTAATAAATTCCTTTCATATACACGAAATGATAAGAAAATAAATAAAATATTAGCAATTGTTAATAAAATAATCTCATATCGTATCTTTCTCAAATTCTTAAATGGTCTTATCATGGGTAAAAAGATAAATTTTTTAATATAAATTAGTTTAATTAAAAATTTAATTTTTCGAATATTAATTTAAATGAGTGTTGGTGAAAAAGAGTTTAAAGACTTAGAAAGAAAATATGGAATATTTTGTAGGAAAATACTAAAATTAATTACAATAAATGATTTAGAATCAATTGATAGAAGTATTGGTTTATTAATAAGTAAAATAGATAAAGTAATTGAAGCAACTAAAAATGAAAAATAAATAAATCATTTTAACTTTCCTTTTAAGGTTATAATAATAAAATATTGTTTATTTATACAAAATGTTATGAAACGTTTCAGAATTATTATAAAAACAAAATGAGGATAAACATTCATGAAAGATAAAAAGAAAATTTCTATGTTAGTAGGAAGTATTATTTTAATATTATTGGTGCTGTTAGATATTAACATGTATCATAAAACAGGTAAAAGTTTATTAGTAGGTGCTTCTAAAAAGGTAAGTGGTATAATGTTTATTAAGAAGAATAAAAAGATGGAGGAAATTAAAAAGATTGGAGAGACGGTAGATAGAATAGAAAGAAAAGTCAATATTATGGATGATAAGATGAATAAGCATAATTTATCACATGATGAATTAATTAAACAAGTAAAGAAAGATAAACAAACACATATTGAAATAAGGCCAATTAAAACTGTATCAAAGCCAGATACTAAACAAATCCACATTTCTAAAATTAAATTAGGAAATCCATTAACTGATCCAACAGGTGAAGTAATTCCTGATTCTTTATCAGACAATCAATTAATTAATGAGTTATTATCATTTGATGATATTTATGATAACCCGGAGAAACATAAATTAGATAATCATAAATTTGAAATGCCTCGTAGAATTCATAAGAACCCATTTAATGCACCACATGAAAGACATAAGAATTTGTTTGATCACATTAAAGTAAGTGAACCAAATCCAAGAATTAATTTACATCCATTTGATTTTAATCAACCTTTATTTGGTGCTAATGGACCAAATACATCTTCAAAACAGGATTCTGTACAGGTATTTAAGTTAGATAATCTTGATGATTATAAGAGCTTTACAGATAATATAAGAAAAGGCACACCAGAAGACACAGTATTTACAGGACCAGTTGCAATTGCAGATTTTACATTTGATAGGATTAAAGATATTACGAAGGGAGTACCTATTTTACCACAAATAGGTGCATTGAATCATACATTTCCTAAAAAGGAAAATCTAAATAAGGAAAGTATAATTTCTAAGGATGAGGTTAAGAAAGAAAAAAGTGAAGTTAAGAAAGAAAAAAATGAAGTTAAGAAAGAAAAAAGTGAAGTTAAGAAAGAAAAAAGTGAAGTTAAGAAACTTAAGAAAGAAATAAAGAAACAAAAAAAGATTGATGAAAAGAAAGAAGAAAAGAGAAAACAGGATGAAAAGGAAGAAAAATTAAAAAAAGAAATAGAAAAGTTAAAGAATGAAAAAGAAGAATTAAGTAAATCTAACCAAAGTTTAGATAAATTGACAGGAACTTTAATGAATGAAATAGATAAAACAAATAATGAATTAAAAGAAGTTAATCGTAAATTGGATATTCAAAGAGAATTTAAGAAAGTAGAAGAACCAAAATCATTAAAGAAAACAGAAGAACCAAAATCATTTAAGAAAACAGAAGAACCAAAATTATCAAAGAAAACAGAAGAACCAAAATTATCAAAGAAAATAGAAGAACCAAAATTATCAAAGAAAATAGAAGAAGTTAAGAAAATCAAAGAAACTAAATCAATTAAATTCCCGGAAAGATCATCATTTGATTCAATATCTGATGATTTTAATGAGATAGTAACACCAAAGATTAAATCAGAACCTAAAAAGAATAAAGAAATGAATTTTAAAAGCAAAGACAAAGAAATCGGAATAGATAACTTATTTAACACAATCTTTGAAAAATCAATTAATCCTACACCAACCGTTTAAGTCTAATAAATTAGGATTTGATAATTTGTTTGTTTATTTAATTATTTTATAGCCCTAATTTATGCAGATTGATTGTGGAGAGTGTGAATCTAATGGTACTTCAATTTTGGGACTTAGATATAAAAATGGTGTTTTATTTGCAGCAGATAGTCGTACTACTACAGGACAGTTTGTTTCAACTAGAGATTCTGACAAGATAGTTCAATGTACAGATAATATCGTTTCACTTGGCACTGGTAGATCTGCACATATACAGAAATTAAACAGATTGCTTTCTAAAGAAATATCTGAACTAGCGGTGTCAGAAGGAACACAACCATCTATTACTAAGTCTGTTAAGATGATAAAGAATATTTTATATAATAATAGAGATTTACTAAGTTGTGAATTTATTATTGGAGGTTATGATAACGATTATAAACTTTTTAAGGTTTGTAAAGAAGGTGTGATTGTTGAGGATGATTTATTAATTGCTGGTAGTGGATCAACATTTATCAGAGGATATACAAAAAGTGCTTTTAAAAAAGATATGTTAAAAGAGGAAGCTATGAAGTTTGCAATTGACAGTTTGAGACTTGCCATTAATTGTGATAATAGCAGTGGTGGATTGATTAGAATTTGTATTTTTGAAGGAAGTGGAGTTGAAAGATTTGTATTGGATGGACAAGATGTGTTTTTTAAAAATGAATAAAATTAGAATTTAATTAAAGTATGTCATCATCAGAATTATCATCCATTTGATAGTCTAATTCATCAACTAGAGAGGTTTGTTCACTTTCATCAATTGCATCAGTTTGTAGATTTTCTTGATCAAATTCATCAGCTATTTCAACTATTTCATTTTTTATAAAAGTTTCATTCTTAAAGTAATTAGCAAGTTCTTGACATAACACCTCATATGTGATATCATTATTGGTTTCTTTAATTTGTTCTCTTATTTTCTTTTCTATTTCAATTAGTTCTGGTTTTAAGTTCTTTGAATAGTTAAATTCCATTTGATTTTAACCCACAATGAATGAATTTTTTAAATTTGGGGAGTCAAAGTTAACAAAAGAACAAGAGATGCTTAATAAGTTTAAAAATGAGAAGTTCAAAATTAAATTATGTACTACAGCTTATAGTAAATTGGATCCAAAAGAATTATTAAGAGTTAAAGTTTTATTTCAAAAGATGTTACCAAAGATGCCTAAAGATTACATTTTAAGACAAGTGTTTGATCCTAAACAGTGTATTGTTATGTTATGTACAGAGGATGAAAAAATCATTGTTGCTGCTGCTTGTTTTAGACCAGCATATAGTAGAAATTTAGTAGAATTAGTATTTTTAGCAGTAAGTAATGAAAGTCATTTGAAAGGATATGGTACTTTCATTGTTAATGTTTTTAAAGAAACAATCAAATATCAGTATATTCACTATCTGACATACGGAGATAAGTTTTTGATGTTCATGAATAATTACATCAAATTAGAAGATTTTAAGATTATTTACAGTGAGAATGATGAAAATAAAAGATTAAAATATTCTGGTAAAGATTATACAAGTTCAGTTAATTTGTATATTTATACATATGCAGATAATTCTGCTGTTGGGTTTTTTAAGAAACAAGGATTTACATTTAAACCTGTTGGTACAATGTGGAGAAGATATATCAAAGATTATGAGGGTGGTACGTTGATGGAATGTAAAATTCATAAAGATTTAAATTATCTTCAACAGTCAGTTATAATCAATAAAATTAAAGAAAAGATAGAAACAAGAATGAAAGAGATAAGTTCTTGTCATATAATTCACAGTGCAGATGAGAAAATAGATCTTCCTATTAGTGATAATGAAGAAAGAACTAAGGAGGATTTTTTAAGAGATTTTATAACATACTTAATATACTCACTTGAGTCAAATCCATCATCATGGCCTTTCTTAGAACCAGTAACTGAAGAAGAAGCACCCGGTTACTATTCGATAATTAAACATCCAATGGATTTATCTAAAATAGCAAAGAAACACAAAAACAATCACTATCAAACACTTAATCTATTTATAAATGATGTTAATTTAATGGTTGAGAATTGTTTAACTTTCAATGAAAAAGAGTCTCAATATGCAAAATGTTCTTTAAATATAAAAAAATGTCTTCTTGATTTAATTAATAAACATTCAGAAACAATTAAGAAATGGAAAGTTAAATAAATAAATTGAATTTTAACCCCAAAATGTTTTTAGAAAAGTGTAGAGAAATTAATCCAGAGATAGAAGAATATTCGGATGATCAACTTAAGAATTTGATAACTATGATAGATTCAGAGTCAAGAACTATAAAGAATATTCTTAACACTATTTTATCAGACATTGGTATTAAGTCAAGAATGATGAGTGAAAATATTGAAAAGATAAGACAAAATAAACATTTACCATACTTAGTTGGACAAGTTATAGAGATATTTGATGATGATGGAACTACTTGTGGGAATGGTGTTGTTTGTTCATCAACACGGCAAAGTAGTTATTTAGATATGTTAGGTCTTGTTGATAAAAAGGGACTTAAACCAGGTGATCCAGTAGCACTTCATAAAGAAACCAACATTATCTTTGAAAAGTTACCAACAAGCTTTGATTCAAAAGTTAAATCAATGGAATTAAAAGACAAGCCAAATGAAACCTATGAAGACATAGGTGGATTAGAAAGACAAATAGAAGATCTTAACGAAGGTATTGTTTTACCTTTAATCTACCCTGAAAGGTTTAAGAAACTGAATATTCAAGCACCTAAAGGAGTTTTAATGTATGGACCACCAGGTACAGGTAAGACATTAATGGCAAGGGCATGTGCTGCTAAAACTAATGCAACTTTTTTAAAATTAGCAGGACCACAACTTGTTCAGATGTACATTGGTGATGGT